CTCATGGCGGATGTGAATATAACTCTCAGGGTAAAAATGGGTTTCTTTCTCTAATAAGAGCGGATGAACCAACGCGAACCGTCATGGAAGCAGTAAAATGGGTCTTGCCCTAACCCATTGGAATATATTGTGCCACCACCATGACTTAATCATATGCAGTTTATGGTAGACACTGTGGCGAGAAATCTATTATCCATGTGCTCACACCTCTCCAGGAGTTGATGATATTTACCAAAATGCGCTTGACGTAACAGCTAAGAAGTTGACTGGACATTTGACGTGATTCTTCCAACATTGCCTTGAGTAACGGCATGTTTCTTCAACATATAATCATGGAATAACTACTCCAAGTTACAAAGAATACAATCGTTCCGACCCGACTAACTACTGTCGAGTGCTTCTTCTTCCAGTTCTTTCAAAAATCATACAGGCTATCATTGTCTGTGCTGCCAAGTCTTAACTGGACGAACTTGCTTCCATCGCGCAAGAGCAACATGGTTTCCACTTGAATCGATCGTGCACTACCGATATACTGTTAGCACGAGACAGGTGGATCAAAACAGTGGATGTTGGTGTATGCGTTGATATCTACTTCTTCCTTTCTAAGACATTTGACTAATAAAACCATTGCATCCTTGTAGCCACATTTTAAGTATATGACATTGATAATCCTCTCCTATGGTGACTTAGCAACGACTTCTTACACAGCCATCCGACATTGCAAGTGCGCCAATCAGCATCAAAGCCTATCCAAGTCGAGCGCAGTGTACCACAAAGTTCGATATCGAGACTGTGACTGTTCTCGACCTTCATACATGATTTGGTGAGCTTGATCAATCAAAGCTCCATAAGGACTTCGACACGGTTTATGAATGGTCATTCCAGAATTGCCTCCAATTTAACGTATATGTCGAGTGCTCCATCTAGAAAACCTAATGGTTCTCATCTATAAGCTGGGAGACCTTCAGAATTGTTCACGTGGATTATATTTCGATATGCTGGTCCAGAAGCACCTTGATTGCTTGGAGCAATCTGCACTTTCATCAACAATACCACCAAAAACTTGGGACTCCTAAAATGAGCTTCAGGTCACTTTGACTCGTCTATTTTTCTTTGGCTGCTTATTGCATACATACGCCCACATGTGGAATGCGCGATTCCGGTATAGCAACCATAGCAGAAGCTGGATCTCACTGTCTTGGAGATCCCACAATTTCGCGTCACCAAAAACTCCAAAGGGCTGTACCACTCAACGTAGGAACAGCGACTATGTATTCCGGAAGATCTTCGTGAACGCTATCGACGTTTGCGTGGTGATCTTTCATGGTTTACCCGATTTTAAGCAAGCGTACTCCTTCATGCTATCAGCTTCTTACGCTCAGGCATGACAACAAACTGATAGATCACCGTCTCAAACTGGCAGAACAGTACACTAGGCTAGAGTGTAGACGGAAGTTTCTCTCGCTACACTTTTGCCACATGCGCAATTCCCATCCAGAGTTTGTTGTTTCATCCCCTATCGTAGCTTTGTTCAAAGATCGTGTCAGCAATGAGCTGGCCGCATTATATCACAAAGTATAACACACACAAACCATATGAATATTCGGAAAACTAATTCGCATCAACCAACACCCGTTGCACTGGAAAGTCCAAAGTCGGTAATCTATCAAATAGCATAAAAACATTTGTGAACGATTCAGACAGACAGAATTTAGCTCAGAAAGTTCACTGTTTTCGCTTGTTTTCCTTTTTGAAATTCCTCACTGACAATCCGACAAGACGCGCTATTTTTCTGCCTTATAGTTTATAACATATCGTTGTCCACTGAACATTGACCTCGCGGTTTTATAAAAAAATACTTATCCACGAGGCCTAAAGGAATTGGTGCAAACAGGCAGCCACGAGAATGATACATATTGGTTTACTTTTCAAGACTGACTTTACTATGCTAAACATCTGTAGGCATTTTATCTCCGTCACAACGGAACTCGTAATCTGCCGGTACCTCCAACGGAGGAAGCTCAGTCAATCGAGACCAGTCCACCCTGCACCTATCAATTCGTGTGTGATTGCGGAGCCAACCACATAGACAGAACCGCTAGAGGAAATGAAAATTATAGTGTTGCTCATCCCAACACTGGCACTCCAAGACCGCGGTTTCGTCCTGTTGGGACTCATCAGTTGGAGATAGCCTGCGTTGGGCTGGAACTCAGAGCCTAGTGGCTCATGGTTGATCTAGATCTTTAACTTTCGGAATAAAGGAACATGTTACCAAGGCGAGTACAACTTGAAATTGACTAACATTCCTGCCCCCTTCCCTGGGCCTCTGTGTTGACACAGGCTGCCAGTTTCCTCAATAAGCAGACGCCTAGTGGTCACGCGTAACCGGAAATAAATCGGATCAGCGTTCACGATTGTGTTGCTTCATTTTAATCCACGTTTTCATCGTTTTGCCCAAGCTGCCACAATAAGCCGGATGCAACCAACTTTGTACATACAAAAACAATTTTTCAGCTTAACGTTGCCATGGACATTGCAGTGGAACTTTTGTCATTCACTTTACGCCTCAAACTCGTTTGGTCACACTCATGATTAGGTAGATAATTGCATATCAGTTATTGTTACTTGCACTGAGGAGACAATATGTAAGGCATGCATTTGCCATCTTTTGTCTTCTACCGTACTAGTCAAATTGCTGAAGGGATCTACCTGCTTTAAATATTTCATTTAAATTGAAACTTTGGACATATATCCAAATAACCCAGCTTTCTTCAACGAAGCAGAGTATCTCGCACGTAAATTCGAGATTGCGTGCTTCAGTCAATAATTTTGTTCATAGAGAGATTTGACACTTGAAACGGTTACAAGAAATACAAGAGATTGCAATGCAGAATTATCATACGAAGCGGTAATTTTGTCCAAACGTTACTCGAATTAGCGTTCTTGTATTTTGCTCTTTAAATCGTTCCACAGCTCAATCGTAAAAGATTCATGACTTTGAACTAAACCATTAGCACATATATTATGTGTCGACATGCACGGGTATTACGGAACTGCTAGTGGTGAACTTTTATCGTCCGATCAATTTCAACTTCTCCTGTGTGGCAGAGTTTGTTAGTGCTTGTCTTAGCTGGTGCCGCTTGCAAAGCGGAACGCGTGGTCAACCTATGAGTTAAAAAGCTTTTAATGTGGGACTGTTTTTTGTGTCAGGAATGGGAGTACATTCAGGATGATGTAATGCTTTAGCGAATCTCAGGTGGGTTCACCACAGACGTGGCGTGTGCACTAGAGTAATTACTACCAAGACTTTAGCTCCATGTGTTTCGGTGCACATTGAAAAACAGCATTGTTAATGTTCGTTATTTAAAAACATAATTGATGGGAACACGAATACTTCTCCACCAATATCGCCAGTGTATAACCACCTTGGTTACAGTGAGAGGTTGTCAGCTTAGTTGCTATCAACGGAGTTCTACCTGGGTGTGTGTGGGGGGGCATGCCACGAGGCTTCGGTCTTGCACATGTATTTCGGACGCATATTGCACATCAGCAGAGGAGAATACAGAAGGAAAGCGGATGTTACCCAGTTGGTCAGAATAAACTGGGGCTACTACCATTGCTAGCTACGACGTGAAGGGGCTTTCCGGATTTGGAAAAAAATCGGGTGATTGTCTTGTGAGCTCAGAAGGCTTGATGCACGCCTGACTTGCGGCACATGCCTCGAAACTAGATTGTCTTCTGCATTGGAAACACGTGAACTGTTTCCGAAGAGCAGAAAATTGCTAGCTTGTTCGTCTCCGACACATCAGTGCATTTCATTCCAGTTCAAATTTCTCAGGTGAACATATCTGACTATTGGGAGCAAATTTTGGCACTTCAAACCACAAAATTGGATCAACAAAAGCTTTCATAGTGTAGCCTTGGAGTCATGACAACAGCCCGTAACCGCAAGAACACACTTGATGTATCCAATCAAGTACGTTATTCATATGAGAGTCATTTTGGAGCACTCGTGTGAATGAATTGCGTCTCGTTATCTCAATGTGAACCGTAATTCCTAGTGAAATGCATCTTGGTCAAATCAATCACTGGGACTGTAGCTGATGAAGCGGATGAATTTTGGGTGTTACCCGTCCAACAACGCTGCACCACACGACTACTTCCGAACTTAATAAATCTCATCAGATAGAGATAGCAAGAATTGAATCTGAAACCATTTGGATTTTGGCCAACGCCGCCGCTTCTTTAGCTACCGCCTCACGGCTGCAAACACTTACCATAATGATAAACGAATAGTGGAGATTTACCGTGGAAATCCATTCACACAGCCATTGCATCAAAATAACCTCTCCAATCAGTCACTAACCGTTGTGACAATCGTTGCTAGTCGTTAACCGGTGACTAAAGGATAACGGTTTTGTGTCACATCGAAATTCTCCCGGGTTCGATGCCTGCTATATCTGCTTGCTGAGCTTTTACAAATTCGAAATCGGTCGTGGAATACAGTATTTTCCGCAGGGTATAACTCAATATCCATCGCGGTCTACATTGAGATTGTGCGTCGAAGTACACTCGCAAAACTTGTGCTTCAAAATGACCCTTTAAACTGTGAACTCGTTCCCGCACATTTCCCATAATAATTCATGTTGAAGAAACCTTTTGTTGAAGTATCACCAGAAGGAAGATACTAAATTGAACCTGAACGTGCGTTTTTAATCTAGTATCATGCATCAGCATATCGGAGATAGATTTCATTATTCGCGCTTATTATTCGACACCAATTTTGTTGTGCTTTGAATGATCTGACATTAAGTCACCTTAAGGATGTTGCGTAAACATCTGCTGAGGCACTATTTGCGCCGAGGAACTGCATTGTTTTAGCCTTCTTTACCCATTGTATTTATATGCTTGAAATGCACTCCAGATCCCGCAGCACCACATTCCTCGATGGGATAAGGAATACCATTAGTTTTACTAGTTTCCGTTTTCGCTCTTTTCAGGTCGTCACTACACTGACAGTGGACCAAGGATTCGTACCCGCCGGAGTGATCCCAGCGGCCGAACCTGTGGGATACTTTCATTTGGCTCAAACATTTTTCTTTCCTCAAATTCGTCCGAAATTACTGCATCAGATCCCCATATGGCCGATTATCGTCGGAGTAGTGTCCGGTATACTTGTTCTGGCCCTAATCATCATTTTGCTTCGCGAATTAGGATTCTTTAAGCGTCGGAAATCCGCTCTACTGAAAGCGAAGTATAGCAGAGGTGGAGCAGATGAATTGGAACGTACCGCGGAGGAGACGCCAGTGAAGAAACCGCACTACTCCGGACTTCAGCCATCCACAGTGGATAAATACGAAAGAGGGACGAAGAAGCGTCCGAAAGGCAAACATCGTGGTGACCTAACCATCTTGCATCCAGCAGACCTGGCAGCAAACAAACAAAATGCACAGGACGAGCAAAAATTACTCAATGATTCTCATCCGGAAGCCTGAACGGCAGTCGTACTGGACGCCGAAGGGTTTCAGCCAAGTGAACAGTGATAAACACACCGTATTGCTTTGTGCTGTGTGAGAGCTGATAGATGCCTTATCCCAAGTACGTATACTTTATACACTTTTAGTGTGTTCGTGTTCGTGCCTGCGCACATCCCCCTTATACTCTGCAGTAGATCTGGACTCGATTGCGCTTCACACCCTTATTTTGCGCGCTTCTTGTAGTGTTCCACGTTGCATCAACCATCCAAGTGTGCACGGTCTCATTTCTGTCTTGGTGTTGACACTCCAGTTTTCTTTGACTCCAACCACCAGTAACATGGTGCTTCAAGTTTCCGACGTTGCTTCTATACACTACCCGTCAGACTTTGCTGCTTTTTAAACCTTTTCCTGATGGGTGTTATTTTTGGAGAAGGACTACGAGCAATAAGTTTCTTTTTAATTTATTTTCCTAATTCTGCTTAGTTGTGTTTTCTGTGGAAGAAGTATACTGATTTGAGAAATATAATACGATTATTTTAAATGGCTGATGGCCAGCACCCATGGAACATCAACCGTGATGCCAAGTTATACGTGAACTATTCTCGTTACTGAGAGGGAGAAAGGGAGTTCAAAAGAGGGCCACGTAGGCGATCAAAGCACTTAGCCCAAGTCCAGCTTCCAGACTGTTTTTACGAGAGGGAATACTCTGACCCAGCTGCTTGGCGAATTTCGATACCGACTGTGTCGTGGCTGACATATTTAATTCAAAAGCATCATCGACAGATTAGCTGGTGTACAACAGAATCACTCTCTGAGTCAGCAAGAAATTTAGATATCATTTTATAAAACGCCACACTGCCTGCAACTTTAGGTGAAGATTACTCTGTTTTGCGGCTCGAACTTTGAGTGAGTGACAGTAACGAAAAACGTTAGGTTATCCGAATATTTCTGTGAACGCATTTCAGATGTTAAATATCCGGTTCGTTTTTCCAAGCACAGACCAAATGACTACGGAATACAGTGATAGTAGCTAAATCTCATTGCCATCCTTCTCCCAGTCTATATCACATTGCTGCTTACGCGAAAGGAGCTTATCCCACTTAAGCAACTCCTACTGTTCGAGTTCTAATTACACAGCTACACCGGGTATTACCAGACCCGTAATAGCCAGATTGATACGTGCACTACATATGGCCCGTTAACGACTCGTAATCCTTGGTTGGGCTGATAGCCGTTTTGTATCCTCGTGAAAAAATGAATGGTACGCGTTGTATTTATAAAAGGTGCTCCTTATTACGTCTACCGCTGCCTGAAATCCATCCACAAGGCCCAAAATACATATTTACATTGCGAGCCACATCGATTGATGCACTTGTCAAGTTTTCCGTCTTTGCATTCCTTCTCAACTGAGTAACCAAAGCACATTTGTTGATAAGATTTCACTACATAGTCGTGATTACATCACCAGATTTTTGGGCTGGTTCCTGTCTGTTGTCAAAGCGCAAAGGCCCAAACAGGCACTTTGTTGGATGACGATCCTAATCTGACCGACCAGGATGGATTAGATTCTCGCAGAACTTTCGTGGTGCCTACCGCTATGACAAACTCATTCCATCGGACTTATCTCCATGCACCGGCCGCATCAACCCACAGCGTCCCCATCCTTGGTCCAGCAACGGGAGGAGATAGGTTGCGTTATTTGTCTATTCACAAAGCCAATATAGTGTGGCGTATCATATTGCACCTTGTTCTGTAATGCTTACAGGTGTGGATATTCAACATATATTGCCATCTCATAAGACAACTTGAGGATGTCAACCCGTGACTGTAATGTACAGGAATTGATTCACAACACTTCGATTTGAGTGGGTTGCACGTCCAACAAATGCTAAGGGCAGCTAACATCTATCTGTTCGCCAGAGAGTACCACAACAGAACTATAGGCGACAATTACCAGTTGTATTGTAATGTGCGCTTACCGATCTGGACCACCCGCTTCGGTGTAACCGTTTAAGTGTAACTGCTGGGTGCGTTAATCAATACATAGCATGTTGTAGCAGATAATTGACAAGTAAAATGCTCCTAAAACGTGAAAAAATTTAGAAATATGGTTACAAAACATGAATAGTAACGAGTATTCAATGCAGTGCTTCGGTGCGGACGTCAAAACAGAGGAGACGCATTAATTTGTTACATTTCTCCATTTCTTAAGCTGCGCATGCACTTTTTTCCAGAATCTTGCTCATCTGATAGAAGTTTAACGGGTTACACTTCTAAAGTTTCCAGGTCAAACACTCTTGATGTTGCATTGACTAACTTGTTTATAAATAGCGGTTAACTAGAAGCTGTCCGATGAATTTGATCAGTGCCACCAGTATCTCCATTTCAATATTGGTGAGAGCTTCGTGTATAGGACATTAGAAAAACAAACCAGAATAACAAACCCCAAATGTTTAAAGCTGATGATCTGACTCTTTGGTAACTATTGGACGACAACATCCGATAAACGTAAAGCCTATGTCCTTTTGCCTACGAGTGCTCTCCTTTATCGCACAAACACCATATTTAGACAACTACCGCAGAGTCAAATTATGTTATTTCACTTGCTGGGCAAGATTCCTGTGTTTCTGCGGACACTGGTCCCCTTTTATTTTGTTCATTTGGTTAAAACGCAACCGACAGCAAAGTGGGTTATATGAATGAATCAAAAATCTCTATTTCCGGAAATGCGTAAGTTTTTGGTGATCTATCGTCAATGAAGTTCGATCTGTTTAATTTTAGCTTGCTGTGGTAGAATGAAATGACATTTGACAGCTACTTTATCTCGAATTCTAACGGATTACCGGTATTTCTGGGTATTTGAGAAATCAACCAGTGGCATACGAGAAGCAGTTCGCCCACCATGTGACTGCGCGTAGGCCAGGAATTTCCAAACAAACTTTTAATGACGGTTAGATGAGTTGGATACCGTTTTGACATCCATAGAATAGTGTGCTGATGGATCTGTAATTCAAAGAGAAGCGAATGACGGAACGTCTTCATTTAATGTCTATTAGCTATTATCTACATTTGAGCCTGTGACCGAAGAAGTTGTTTCTCGATAAACCGCATTCTAAAACAAACGGTAAAAAGCCCTACTCTACCATCAGTAACAGCTGGGTTGTCCGAAATGATGCATGGATTTCGGAGTGTGGCTTTGCAACCTGCTCACGATCGGTTTCAAACATCCAACTAACAGTTGATAAGCGTGTAGCCGCATTATTTGTCAGACCCAACGCGGCTTTCCCAGATTGTTTAACACAATCTAACAACTGTTTTATCTGTTTCCACAGACCATTTTAATCTTAATAGTAATGATAATAATAATGAGTCAGCTGTATGCTGTAACGGCGCTTGGCTGTCGTGCGACCACCATCAGTCGCACGCGGGCTGAGTATCCTGCGAGGACGTCCACCTCTACGAGGATTCGAACCTGCGCCGCAAGATTACGAGACAAGCTCATTGCCATTAGGCTACGGGCCGACATAATAATGCGTCAGCATTAGGACTCGTGATAGATGTGTGAATGGCACATTATCACACTTCAAATGACGACGACGATAACGTGGCTCGTTTACACTAAGTGATAAGCTACTTGACCATCAAATGTAGGCTTTAGTGAAGAACAAATAGTGGACAGTATCAGACTTCCGTTTGAATCCATGCAGGGAATCACATCTGTTACTGCAAACCTCAGTGAGTCCTACAACTGCCGCGTCATTTTGTTGACACTTTGTTTTAATCGTGTAATTTTCGCCCCAACCATCCAGCGGGGATTGCCTGGCATTTGAATTTTCACCCGTTCTAAATTACTGCTCCACTGCAATGCGGTGATTAATTTGAGTGACTAGTTGACCGATAATTTTACATGAGCCTCCGATTGCACTGTGCAAAAAAGTCTATTTTCCATAACAGAAATGCCAATGTCCCTACCTTATAGAATACACTTCACTGGTCATAGAAATGTATTCCTATGTTTCCTTGCACGTTAGGTTACCTTTTATAGGTAAGTGATTATTTTCAGTAATCTCAAGACTACATCGTACGAAGTAAATGTAAACGTACTGCATCACAACATATACAGAATACATCTGTGACAAATACCTTCTGAAACATCACTGCAACACAAGCCATTAACTACTGACTGCAGCTTGGCACTGGGAAATGATGACTTCGCCGAGATCGTCGCTTGTATGATCCATTGCCCTCAAGCTGCAGAAACCAGCAAAGTCACCTAATATAGAAGGCGTGTACTTGCAGCGATGCTTCACGACTGAAATGTCTTGGTGCAAGCTCTCACCATATTCATCACTAACATCCCAATTTCCCAGAGAAATGGCCAAGGTGCTTATGTCTAAAGTGAATCTTGAGTGATATTCGAGCACCGACAGCCCGATAGTCCGCAATGAGCTCTTCTGTGATGTCTTTGTAGCTCTCTGCCTTTCTTCTGCCCAAAAATTCTGTGTGCACAGCCTTAACTGATCGCCACGCTTCTAACTCACATGAAGTCAACTGATATTTGGAACCACTGTCTGTCATTATCCAGCGAATATCTGACCCAATAAGTATCGCTTCTTTGAGCTTCGCATCACTGATCTTCGGAAACCTTTGTTTCAGGTACTGGAACGCAAAACTACCTCGCTTGAGGGCTTCGACAAAGTTTTTAATCAAACCAAGCTTGATGTGCAGGGGTGGTACATAGATATTATCAGGTTGCACAAGTGGTATATGCTTCACACTCTTTTTCTCTGCAGCATACTCCTTCCTCTCTGGTTACTTTTCGGTTGTGTAGTGCTGTTGAGTTGTTCTACTGTTCCATAAGTACAAGAAACAGCAATCTTTTGTGACGACTTCTTGCATACCCATTAGGAGTCCAATGACTTTGAAGTCAGCGTAGATGTTCCAACATTGCTTATCGTAGTTCAGTGCAGCGAGTATCTGTTGCATACTTTCGTAAGTTTCCTTCATATTGGTGGCATGCAATAGAGGCACATTTGGCTACACGTTTCCAGTGTGGAGCAGTATGGTCTTAAGGCTACTCTTGGACGAGTCAATGAGCAAACGCCATTCATCACTGATATGCCTCACGACAAGCTCCTTCATCAGTCCTTCCACATCGAAACAGTAATAAAAGGTTTCTCTCGTGTCATAGAAACCGGACAATTTAACACCACTTTCTGTATACAGTAACCTAAGTGTTTGTAGCAATAAGTGCCACTGCTGCAGCTGAGATGCCAACAACTTGGCCTTGCCTTTAGGCAAGCCCAGGTCACGTATTAGGTCATTCAGTTCTGATTGTCCAATAAGACGTGGCTTGAAATCATCAGCTTCAAAGTTTTCACAGACGTCAGAATCAGGTGAAGTTGAGGATGCATAATCACTACTCGTCATCAGTGTTATGTTCACTGGAAGCAGTGGAATGGGTAAGGTGCAATCATGCGGAACAGGTCGAATAGCTGATGGAAGATCGGGCCAATGAATTTTGTCCTTGTTTCAGTTGGAGATTCCAATGACACTAGTTAGGCAGAAGTAGCAGCCTATCATGTTGT